CTTTGAGGTCCACTGTTCAGTAGTATTTTACTATGTATAGTTGCTACTATATTTATTATTATTATTATTATTTTTATTTATTTATTTATTTTAAAATTTAAATTGTTCTTGTTACATTTATTATATTCATTTTTTTTTACATTTAATACATATCGATAAAATTGGTTTTGTTAATTATGAGATCTTTTAATTTTTTTTAAGGATAGTAAGATTATCTAATTTAGTAAGTTCTATATTTTGAGATATTATTTTGTTGTATAAGTAGGGGCCACGGTATGCAATTGAAAATCTTGAAAATTTTGTTTTTTTAATGGGCAGGGTGAAATTTCCTGTTCCTCTTGTGCTATATCTGTTGGCGTAGATTTGAAAAAAGTTATTAGTAAAATGAGATGGGACAAGCCCGAGCATACATTTGAGCATAAATAAAATATTTTGGTAGATGTTAATTTGATAGACATTTAACGCATTCAAGTTTTTAAGTAAAGGATCGGCATGAGTGAATTTATTTTTATTATAAATCAATCTTGATGCGTGTTTCTGGTGTACATATAGAGAACTTAGTTTAGATTTATTTGTACTTCCCCAGGCAATATTAGCATATGTTAAACAACTTTGTATATAAGAAAAGTAGAGACTTTTAAGATTTTTCTGGGAAAGTAAAGGTTTGACTTTGTGGAGTATGCCGATACTTTTTGATATTTTTGTATTTATTGTATTTATATGGGCTTTCCAAGAAATCGTTTCGTCAATAATTATCCCAAGAAATTTAACGGTTTTAGTTCTTTCGATATTTATGTTATCAATTTTTAGTAATGGTAGCATTCTTGGTATATTATTTTTTTGATGGTTGGAATGAAACAAGATGTATTTTGTTTTTTCTGTATTTAAAGATAATTTATTTACTTTAAACCAGGTGTTTAGATTATCAAGGTAATCGTTCACAGATTCAAAGAGATTTTCAATTGATGCTGATGAATAAAACAAATTTGTGTCATCAGCAAACATTACAGCATCAAGTTTTTTTAGGGATTGTGAAAGATCGTTAATATAAATTAAAAATAAAAGAGGGCCAAGAATGGAACCTTGGGGAACTCCGCATTTAATTTCTAGTAAATTTGAATATTTATTATCATTCGAAATAACGCATTGTTGTCTGTTGCATAAATAACTTTTAAACCAATCTAGGGTAGTATTTTTTATTCCGTATTTTTCCATTTTTTTAAGTAGGATATCATGATTAATTGTGTCAAATGCTTTGGATAGGTCTATAAAAGTTCCTAATACAAATTGCTTTTTATTAAAAGAATCACTTATGCTATTAACTATATCTAAAATTGCATGTTTGAGTGTTGTGATTGAAAACCGAATTGTTTTTTATCTAAGAGTTTATTTTGAATTAGATATTCATATAGTCTATTGTAGATTATTCGTTCAAGTATTTTAGAAAAAATTGGAAGAATAGAAATTGGTCTGTAATTATTTATTTGAAATGTTTCACCGGTTTTAAAAATAGGTATAATTTTAGCTACTTTTAATTTATCTGGTACAGTTCCAGTTTTAATTGATGATTTGAATATTTCAAAAATAGGTTTGCGTATCTGCGAAGAGACATTAGCAACAATATTACTGCTAATGTCATCTACACCTGGAGACTTGTTTATTTTAATAGAGTTTATTGCATTTTCGAGTCCATCAATTTTTAGTTCTTTAAATATTAGTTCGCTGTTGACACTAGTTAAGTAAGTTTCAAATGAGTTGTTTGGACAGTGGATTTTTGAAGCTAGATTTGGGCCTATGTTGACAAAAAAACTGTTAGATTTTTCTGAAATTACATTACAATCGTTATACTCATTATTATCTATGACAATTTGTGCAGGTAAACTATTTGATTTGCAGTGTTTAGTCCCAATTATTTCTTTTATGATATCCCAAGTTTTTTTAATATTACCATTTGAGTTTTTTATTTTATTTGAGTAAAAGTTTTTCTTCGAATTTTTTTTAATTTTTTCAAACAAGTTTTTATACTGTTTGTAAACATTTAGGTTTGCCTCACTTCTATTTTTTTAAGTATTTGATATAAAGTTTTTTTTTTTTTTTTTTTTTTTTTTTGGAGGATTTTTTAATACCTTTGGTGATCCAAGGACATTTTAAATATTTTTCTTTTATTAATTTTTCTTTAATTGGGAAATGCATATTATAGTTTTTTAGGAAAATTTTTTCAAAGTTATTAAAAGCAGAGTTTGTGTTCCCAAAGGTTGCATTCTTGGTATACCTTGTCCCATTGTTCTGCCGATAGTGAGTCTTTAAATTGTTGAATAGCAAATTTGTTGATTTTCCTTTTATAAATTTTTATTTTACAACTATTTATAGATTTTATATCTTGTGTCAAAGAGAAGAAAACAGGAAAATGATCAGAAATGTCTGTCTTTATTATTCCTGCTTTTAGAGAAGTATCAAAGATTGAATTAGTTAATATATTGTCTATTGCAGAGATTGAAGTTGGAGTTACTCGGGTTGGTTTATTAATAATTGGGAAGATGTAATATTGAAGCATTTCGTCAAAAAAAAGTTTAATATTGGCATTTTTTTCATATTGTAAACAATCTATGTTTATATCACCAATACAGAATATTTTTTTTTGCTCATTGTTGTTTTTTATAAAAATTTGTTTTAAATGATTGGAAAATTTTAATAAATCACCTTCAGGCGGTCGGTAACATGTGGAGACCAGTATGTTTTTTGATTTGTTACTAGTTATTTCAATTGTAAAGACCTCACTATCGGCATCTGAGGTCGAAAGGTCTTCTCTTATTTTAGTAATTTGATCATTCCTAATATAAGTTATAATTCCACCTCCCCTTTTGTTAGTTTTCCTTTCAAACGATAATAACTTGTACTTAGGAATTTCTAAACTTGAGTTTATTCTGCATGATTCGTCAGAACACCACGTTTCTGTTAATCGCATTCAATAAGAAAATATTTTAGCTTATCCATGTTACTTCTAATATACTTCTAATGTTAATGTGTATTACCGTAAAATTACTCTTTAAGGTTTTTAGTTCGTTTTTAAAAGTTTTTATTTCAAAGAAGGATGAGCTAAAATTCTTTTCGTTAAAAAAATGCAAATCAGCGTCAGAAAAGTCATTAAGTAACACATTTGCCGATTTGAAAACATTAAAGTGTAGTTTTTCAAAATCTATTGTTAAGTTCGTCATTATTTAAAATAGTTAAAATAGCGTTTCGCTTAATAAAACTTCGCGTGTTTACCTTCTAAAATCTCGACAATAAATTTTATCAAACTTAATAATTGCAAATATTAATCTTTTTATTACTCATGCAAATCAACATCACTATTTATCAAGTCTATTATTCAAGTCTTGTAATAATCCACTAAAAAAGCACTTTCTTCTTCCTTATCGATCTCTTCTTCTTCATCTGGCTATTCTTCCTTGTTGATCTCTTCTTTTTCGTCGGCGTCTTCTTCTTTATCTGTCTCTTCTTCTTTTATCACTCTCTTCTTCTCCAATTTGTTTATTTATTTGGTTCGTTATTTCCTCAACTTCATGGACGTATGCCAAATCTAGTTTTTTTTATTGCTTTAGCAGAAGCCGCTAATAAGAGCTTTTCAATATGAGTAGTTTTTGATAAATTAGACAAAGCTCGCCCTTTAGTACGATGCGCTTTCTCATCCCATGGGATGAGAAAGCGCATCGTACTAAAAGGCGAGCTTTTGCTGGGCCCAGCATTCGTATTTTGGACTTTTATAAAAGAAATTTATTCAAAATAGTATTTTCAAATTAATGACATATAATTATTAGTATATGTATTTATACTTAATTATTGGTATTTATTAAAATTTTTAAATTTTTTGAATTTATATTTATTTTATACGAGTTATAAACATTTAGAATATTAGAGCAAATAAAAGGTTGCGTGTGAGTAACTAAAAATTTTATCATAATGCATGAATACATGCAGCTAAATTTTTTTTATTAGGTATTACCATAACGAGAACATTATAAAGATACCCTTTCCAGATGCATGAGAAGCCACAAAATAACCTAAAAACTACGTAAAATGCGTTGGCAGCTGGAGCTTTGCCAAAGACCTAGCTGGGGGAGCGTACAGCGCTCCCGAGATCCCCTAACTAATGGGGAGGGGCCTCGTCCCCAACCCTTTCTTTCCCCATAAATTACACCTTGCCTAGGACCCTGTCTACAGTTCCCTTACTTCTTTTTTTCTCAAATTAACCACTGAGTATAATTGAGATAACATGCTATGACAAATTTATTTCACGCAATGGTTTTTTCTTATCTTTAAATATTTTTAAATAACATTTACTAATTTTTCGTTATTTCAAAAGAAGATTCAGCGGAATAAACGTCAAGATTAAGGTTATGAGCACTACTTAACATGAAAAAGTTGGAAGGTTCTTCTAAAGTATTTCTTTTATACGCATTTCGGTAATACTTTTAAAACAGAGCAAAATTAAGTTAGTAAAAAATCACTTGATAATTTTTTTTTTAATAATTTTTTTATTTTCCACAGTGTTTCATCAATTAAGACTCATTAGAAATCTTTATTAAGCATGATCATCAAAACTTACGAGGAAGGCATCATATTATGTCAACTAAACTTGTTAAAGTAGTTAACCAAAGAAATTTTGTGAACGTATTCACATATTTATAGTAAAGTTTAAAACACATCTTTTAAGATATATTTCAAAAATTATTATATTATATTTTTCCTGAACTGAAAAAGAATTCAGAAAACTAAACGCAACAGAACCTTATGTGTTAATACTAAAATTTTGAGCCGGTTTAAAACTACCACTAGGTCAGTCCTAGGGCCATTTTTTACTGGTAAAACCTTTATGGGAGAACATTATTAGCCATTATTATTAGTTGAATAATGGTTGTTTTTTTTAACGCTCAATTGGTTAAAAAGAGATTTTGAAAATTCATAATTTTTTCCCAGAGCCTACGCGGGTTCCTTAACTATTTCATGTCCTAAGATTCTTAAATTTAAAGTTCATACGCTAACAGAACACATTTTATATTATTCGTTTTTCAATTCGTCTCAATCTCGATTTCCTGGAACTGATTAAGTCTTTTTACGTCTTTGTCTTTCCTAATAATCGTATTCGGAAGCTTTCGAACTTTTGAAATATCGTGACTAGATTTTAATTTCAATTCATAAGCACATGTATCTATCAAATTTTGATATGTTAAATTACTCAAGTCTAACTCAATTTCTATAAAATCAGTTTGCTTTACCTCTTTGATCTTAAGTACTAGTTCCGGGGCACTGATGACGTTGGTGGTAATAACAGATATTAATTCGTTATTATGCAAAGCTTCTGTTTGAACATATTTGTCTTCAGTGAAATTTTGGGACCAGATGTTGGTTATTTTGGAGATTATATACTGTTTTATTTTTTCATTAAATGCGACGTCAGCAGCTGTTTCACCATTAAAGTTTTTTATGGAGGGTTCTGCACGATGGTGTAGTAAAATACAAACTAATTCGAAATGCCCTCTCTTAGATGCCCAGTGCAAAGCTGTCCATCCATTCATTTTATTTTGAGAGTTGATTTGTGCCCCATTAGTAATAAGCTTGTTTAGTAAATCTTTATCTCCGTTAGAAGCCGCTTCTCGAAGTTTTTCTTCGGGACTTTCCAACCACTCCATGCTACATAAACAAAAGTTAAAAATGTCTATAATTTCATAAAAATTTTTGTTAATTCTTTACAACTAATCGGGTGTATAATTATGAGAGGGGGTATTTTGGCAGATATTTAACTTCCAGTTTATTGTATTTTTAAAACACAGTCGAAAATTTAAACATTTCACATATTTAAATTTTGTTATTCATAAAACAAAAGTCCTTTTGAAGCAACAACAACAAAAACAAAAACAAAAATAAAATTTAAATTATTATAAATATAACTTCACAATTCAATATTAATTTTACTTTTTTTTTTACTGCACAAATATTTTTATTATATACATATTTATATAATATATATATATTAATATATACATATATGTATATATTAATATATTTGTATGTAAATCTGGATGTTTTTATTATATGTATACACTAAGCATCTGCGTCTCAAAACGGTACAAGACGAAATGAGACAAAACGATAAAACCGGTACGAAACAAAACAATGTTTATTCAATTTTGCAAAAAATGGTACTAAACGAAACAAAATTTTCTTGTTTCGTGAAAAATACGGTATAAATCGAAATAATAATTTCGTTTTTTGTAAAAACCAGTACGAAATGAAATAAGGTTAAACTAAATAAAGTACGAAATAACCGGTACGAAACGAAATAAGCTTAAACTTTTTAAGGGAATTATGAAATGTTCCGTAAAAACTGATACGAAACAAAACAAAATTTTTTTGTTTCGTAAAAATACGATACAAAACGATATTATACTTTGTTTCGTAAAAACGGCACGAAACAAAAATTATCGTTTTCTATCGTGTCAATCCGAATTTCCGAGAGGACACGAGAAGACGCAGATGCTTAGTATACACACATAATAAAAACATTTAGATTTCGCCTAGTTCAAAAAAATCCCGAGCAGAAACTTTTTCCCAACATTGGCAAGTAATATAAAAGTACAATTTATAATAAAGGCGTTTATCTTGTAATGAACTATACATGAACATGCAATTTAAGAAATTGTATAAAAATACTTTTAGTTGCATAACTAGTAAACCAAATGATTCGAAAATCATGCATATGATTGCCAGAGATTACATATTACATACATTTTAAATTTTTTGTCGATTATATTTTTATTCATAAATTTTTAGCATTTTATTAAACGCCGTGTTTACAAGGGGTGCTTAGAATATAATACTTTAAAAAATACTGAATGAGTGCAAACTTCATCAGTACGAACTATCATAAGTGCGAATGGCGTAAGTGCGAACGGGCATAAGTGCACCAAAAGAGTTTGTAAACAATGGCATAAATGCGAACATGCATAGCTGCAAATAGGCATAAGTGTAAAATGTTAATTTGTACTTATGTTAATATTTTCAATTTTATTCGGCACACTTATGCCAATGTTTGCGAATTCTTTTAGCGCATTTATGCCAGTTCACACTTATGCAAGTTTGCACTCACGCCAGTTCGCACTTACGCCATTCCCACATGCCAATTTGCAAGTATAAAATTCGCGCTTATTTAGCCGTCTCTTGTATTTAAATTTAATATATTATTTAGTTGCGTAAGTATTAACAAGTAATTTGTTAATACTTTGTATTTGTATATATAATATTCGGAATAATAAAATAGCTGAATAGTTTCATTTTTCCGGTTTTCTTTTTCTTTTTTATTCTAAACGTTGCGATTAAGTTTATCCACTTGACCAATAAGTTGTAAGTATAAATTTAATATATTGAAACAACTATTTTCAATAACATTTATCTTTTAACTTTTAACAACTTTAAATATTAGTTAAATTGCTGATATTTTTACAATATGATTTTTTATATGATATTACTTTTGTAAGATATGATATTACATATTTAGCCTAAAATAAGATTTACATTTAATACTTTATTTGCACGATTGCATGCATGACCTGCATGTATCAAGAAATAAAAAAATTAAAATAAAAAACGTATGATAAGTAAAAAAACTAATAAATAGACAAAACTTTTATACTATGACACATTGTTGACATTTGCCTTCCGTTGACACGGTGCCAAAAAAATTCGTAACCTTTGAATAGTGCCCCAAAAAATTATAGTTATAAAATTGTTGTGGATCCTTGGTTGTCATAAAATTAATTAATGATCATTCCAAATAGTTAAGTCTTTAATATAGTGTCATGTAAATCATTCATTATGATTAAAGGCGAGTTTCCACTCATCCGTTTTTTCACGGGAACGGGAAAGGAACGGGAAAAATAATCACGTGGGCATGCGTAGTAAAATTTTTAATATGTCCAAAGGAAAACTATGCATGCTCACGTGATAATTTTTCCCTTCCCTATCCCGTTCCGGTGAAAAAACGGATGAGTGGAAACTCACCTTTACATTGCATATAATTAATTAGTTTGGCATGCAAAAAGCTGCAGAAAATAAATAAAAAATATAATCTATTTCTATATAAAACTAAATCTATTTATAATATATACACTTCTTTCAACAGTTTTGAAAGGCAAAACAATTGTATAAAGATATCCACGACACTATTAAACTTATTGTCATTGTGAGAGTTCCGATAAATACAATAAGTATGTCAATCCCAAACTCATACCACCTAAGGTGCATACAGTAAATTTTCATATGAAATAGAGCTGGGAAAATAAACTCCAATGCAATGCCAGTAATACTACCAATAAATGCAAGTAAGTATGTGAACCGTGGAATAAATGCAGCCATAAATATCGTAGCTAATACTAATAGTAGTCTCATCATTTGAACTGGTAGACTATACACATTATTACCAAAATCTGCTGGAAAACACGGAAAGTTAGATTTTTCAATAATATCAAAGCTTGTAAACATCGGCAAAGTGTAAGAAGTAAAAGCTAAAATAGCAGCCATTGCGTTTACAATTTGGCGTACAGCACCAACTGGTAAATTATTTGTTACTACTTCGTCTGTGTCAGGATAAAATGTTAAATCTGCAAAAATTCCCACCAAAACGCTCATAATAGACATTGCTATAAAAGCATAATTTAGAGTTGATTCAAATTTTTCTGGTCTTTTCATTGTTGATTCAATGAAAGGAACAAACGGTTGGGCTAAGTAACAAGCAACAAGAATGCCAAGTGCTGCAGGGAACTCGTTTGGTTCAAAATTGTTCATGTTAGAAACTTGCCATTCACTCGACCTAGCTATGCTATATGCTACTATGCTAACAAATATAATAATGGCACTGGAAACAGTTAATATACTAGTCCAGGCTACTTGAGATAAATTTTTTAAAAGAGTATTTGGTAACAATGCTATTCCTCCTATCATTGTCCAAGCCCAAATAGGCAAACTTATATCTGGAAATGATTTGTTAAACATTGCACCAACTAAAATGGGATACATAGTGGCAACAAAAACTAATTCAATCACCATAATAATCATCACCATAAGTCTCCCACCTTTTTCCCAGAATGCTTCTCCTATATCCATGTAACTACTTCTTACGCGAACTTTTACTCCATCTCGTATTTCGTATAAACTCCTAACAAGTATAATGCTTGTATAATTTGAAGCAGCAGCAACAATCACAAGTGTCAGAAGAGACCACCAACCTCCTGATTTAAACGTATATGGTATTGCAAGAATAGGAAGACCTTGAATAGTATTGCAAATATTCCAAAATGTTTCACATACTGTTGTTAAGTCTTCCGATTTGACAGAAGTTTCATTTTGGTTTCGTGGCGAGGACTCACATTGTTCCGATCCAGAAGCATTAACTCCATTAAATTCAGGATCTGTTACTCTCAGTAATTCATCATTGTGTATTAAAGCTTGTCGCTCTTCCGAGACCATTGGAAGCAGATAAAAAAAATTAGTTATAAACAGTCATTGTCGTAAATGTACAATATTTCGGATTTAGGCATCTGCAGATCCAGAAAAAAAAAGGATGAGCAAGCGCAAGGTAGAGTGAGCATCATATTGCACACTTGATTGGTTTTTTCATTTTGAGCATATTAAGACATTTTTTAAAGTAAGTCTTAAAGAGAAATCGTTAAATTCAAAATGATTTTTTATGTCACATAGATGTTTAAAGTCCAAAAATTTATTTTTAAAAACCTCTGTGATTTAATATGATGTTGAATATTTTATTTTTTAAATCTTAAATTTTTTGGGGTTTATGATTATACAGTCTCAAAAAATCTTTTGACAAGTTTTCAAATGTTTAATGATTAAAAAAACATTTTTTTAAAAAAATTTTTAAATACACAAATACTTTATGTATTTGTACAAGGGGGTACAACATCAAAGTAAATCCTATTTAAATTAAGGTGGCGGTATAGTGAAATAAAAAAAGTTGAGTTTAAAAATATATATTTTTTAAACTATAAAACGTTTTTTTTTTTAAATTCATAAAAATTAATTCATAAAAATCATAACAACTGCGAATAATTTTTTTATAAGAAACAATATAGTTTATAAGAAACAAAGTTTTTGAAACATTCTGGTTTTTTCCTCGTTCTCAACTAATTACGTTTTCTTAGAAACTGTTTTTTGCTTCCTTGCTCATAATCCTCAAAGTATGATTTGAAGTTTTTTATTGAAATTTTAACTGCAATGGAGGGTGTTTTTTTCGCGACATGTATACAAATTAGTTTTTCAGAGTCATGTTTTTAATATCAAAACATAGCCATGTTTTTAACATGTTTTTAATGTCAAGTCACAGAATCGGGCTATGAAGAGGAGGTGCGCAAGCAATCTGTCTCCTAGCAATAAAACATTTCAATAATCTGTTGTAATACCTACATCCATGGTCTACTTAAACTTATAATTATTTTGAAGCCCTACAATCATAAAAACAAAAACAACTTCTTTATAAAGATTACTTCATCAGTCTTCACCAAATTATTTTCCACTTTGATATTGGGCTGCTTTTTGCAAATATATTTTACACACAAGAAACAGGAAATCACTTAATACAAAATTTTATTTCATTGATTTTTCTAACATGCTACAGTTTGTTTATTTGTAATTTTTACCACTGCGAAACCATTTAGGTAAAGAAATTATCTTTATAAAACAATGAAAAGTTAAGGATCTTATTAACAGCTATTGACTCAAAAACATTTGGTATGCCTGATATTTCTTGGTCTACTGTAATTAAATGACCTAATTTGTAGCATTTAATTTGCTGCATGTTTGAAACATGCAACATAATAGAGAATTTAAATTGCAAAACATTATTTTGCAGTGTAAATATTCTTAAGAAAAATTTAATATTGCAATCATAATAAATACAAAATTACAAACCTTTAAAATTGTTTCCAATGGAGAGTTGTGGGAAGTAACATGTAAGGTTATTTTTAGTAGCATGTTGATTTAATTACCTATTTCAGTATTCTGTTATAAAAATAAGCTGAAGCAGGCAATCAGTAAGCGAAAAATCCAGCAAAACATAAAGTAATTACTCAAAAAATATATAACTATTATTTAAACATTTTAATAAAATAAGAATAAAACTTTTATAGCGCAAACACGACTCATAACAAAAATCAAGTTTTTATACACGAGCAGTAAAAAAACCTCTTAATTTTTTACAGAAAATGCTAAGGAGATTCAAACGTTTATATGGGAGATCAGTTTATCTATGTCCCCATGCATCAGTACGTTGCACTCGGGATGTACATTTCTTAAATATTGTAAATACGATTACATAAATCGAATGTTTAGAACATTTCTATATAAGTTAAGTTACTCAACGGATTATTAACACCAATTATTATTTTTTCACGTAATTTCTCATAATTTTACGTAAGACTTTTGTAGTAATTTATTATTTAAAAATGTTTTTAATGATTTCAAATAGTACGTAATGCTGAAAGTTAAAAAAAAAAAAAATAAGAAATTAAAAAAAAAAAAAAAAGGGCAAATAAATCACTGAAGTAAACCATAGAAAACACTAATATGTCAAAGTAAATAAAGCAAATATTATAAAATTTATTCTTGTCACAATAAGAAGCCAACTCCCTCTGATTGCTTGCAGGGGGCATCTGAGCTTGAGAAGGATCTCACTTCTGCTACAGCATGGGGCTCACAGTGGCTGGTGAACTTTAATTCAGATAAAACTCAATTTTTTTCGGCCAATCGTTATCGCAATAGTTTAGACCTTCCTATATTTATGAACGGTAATGTACTCGATGAGTCTCCTACCCTTCATCTTCTAGGATTAACTCTTACTTCTGATCTTTCTTGGAAACCTTATATCAAATCCGTTGCAAAATTAGCATCTGCTAAAGTTGCTTCTCTTTATCGAGCTCGTCACTTTCTTACTCTGGATTCTATTCTCTATCTCTATAAATCTCAAATCCAGCCTTGTATGGAATACTGTTGCCATATCTGGGGCGGATCTTCTAATGATGCCCTTTCTCTTTTAGACACGGTGCAAAAACACATTGTAAACATAGTTGGACCTGCTCTTGCAGCCAACCTTCAACCTCTGTCACATCGTCCTAATGTTGCTTCTCTTTCTCTTTTCTACAAATACTATAATGGGTACTGCTCGAAAGTGCTAGCGTCTCTTGCGCCATCTACTAAAATTCATTCTTGTGTTACTCGTCATTCAATTAAGTCTCATCCTTTTTCTGTTACTGTTCCTAAGTGCTCCAAAAACTCTTATTCGTCTAGTTTTTTTCCTCGAACATCAGTTCTTTGGAATTCGCTTCCTTCATCTTGCTTTCCTGATTCATATAATTTGCAATCTTTTAAGTCGTCTGTCAATCGTTATCTTGCTCTACAATCTTCATCTTTTCTCCTCCAGTAACTTCCAACACTTATTAGTGGTTGCTTGCAGCCTTGTTAGAAGCGAAGATAATTAAAAAAAAAAAAAAAAAAAAAAAAATACAAACGTTTTTGGTTCGTTATCGCTCTTTTTTGCAAAATGATAAATAAATAAATCTAATAATATATAAATTTAAATATAAAATTCTTGAAAGACTTTTTCAAGCTTAAAAGCAACTCGAAAAACCACAAAACAAAGAAACAAAATGGGTAAATACACATTAATTTTTTTTTAAATCGCCTTTAATAAACACGAGTTCAATACCATGTTTTAATTACTTTTATTCAGCCAGTTCGATTTATTTAAAGAAGCAAAAATACTTTTCTATGGATATTTAAAAAACTAAATTTTTATAAACATTTTCCAATGGTTTATAAATATATTTAGAGGTTTAGAGGCGCAAATAAAACAAAAATGTGTGGGTCCCCACTTTTTTACGGCTATGAATACACAGGGGCGTTTTTACGAGAGGGTGCTACACTCACCCCTCCCCCCCCCCCAAAAAAAAAAAAAAAAAAAAAAAAAAAAGAAAAAAAGAAATAGGGATTTTAAATTTATAGTGGGTTTTTTAAGGAATATAGTTGGTTAACCGGAGATTTTACACATTTCAGTAGAATGATTAAGGACTTTAATTTTTATTTTGGAAAGCAGTCGGCACTTTTTAATGGATATTCAGACTTAATTAGGGACTTCTATAAAAGGTGTTTGGCGTATGAGATTTCTATGCCATGTTTATAGGGGATAAATAAATCAAACTGTTATAACAAAATATTATACAAACTCTACCTTTTTTAATAAAAAACAATGGATGATACTTCGAATAAAAAAAAAACGATTGTATAAAATGGCTAACTGACCATCGCTTATCTACAAGTGGCACTTTACATAATTTACTTATTTGAATAAACTAAAAAGAAAAGCAGAAAGGCGTTTAGTATTCGTACATTTCTTGAATCCTACAAGCATCCCACCTTTAATTGCTTCTTGGACCAGACAAGATTTGTTGTAGCTTTTTATAACTCCATTTTTATTTAAAAAGTATGCTTTAAATAAAAGAGTAGGCAGTTAAGGACAACAACAAAAAGGATATTCTATTTTGACGAGCAGAAAAATTGTGAGTCTTTAACGGATTTTAGTTCACTAATGACGTCAGTTCACCTAACACGTTATTTGTAAAAGGACTTTTTTATTTCACTATACCGTCCTGTGGCGGGTTTTAATGGAGGGGGGCAGTAGCCTCCCTCTTGGGACTTTTTTTCAGAAAAATTCTTTTGTAAATTCACTATTGTATAGAATTGGGCTATTATACTGACGAGGAAATTGACTTAATATACGTATATGAATTTAATTATATTACAATAAAGTGCAAAACAAAAAAAAAAAGAAAGTTACTTATAAATGAAAACATGCGGACCTTTTTTTTAATTATTTTTTAGACCTCTTTAGCCCCTCCTTGGCGAGTTACAAAACCCACCCCTGATACCGCCACCTTAATTTGAATAGGATTTACTTTGATGTTGTACATCCTTGTACAAATAGATAAAGTATTTGCGTATTTTAAAATCTAAAAAAAAAAATGTTTTTTTAATTATTAAAAAATCTCATGAAGAACAAATTCGTCCTGCTGTAATGTTATTTAAATACAATGATAAGGTCAGCTTACAATGCTGAACTTGTTTCTCCTGAACTTAAAAAGTTAACCACAATAAAGTATAATATTAATTGTGTAATGGAAAGAAAAATTTTTACTATTCCTAAAAATAATTTAGATAATGATTCAACAAGTACTTCAAAAAACAAAAAACTCTACAAAATCTACTAAAGAAAATACTCTTCCTTAAACAAATGTAAATAATAAAAATACATCTACAATCGATGAAAACAATTTTCTATCTTCACAGTTTATTTGCAATAGTATTCAACAACATTAAGAGAAAAATGCAACAGAAATAAATATTAACGTTCAAAACTTGTACCCTATTAAATCTCTTATTAAATTATAGAAATTTTTGAGCTAAACAAAGATTCATGGCTAAACATAAAAAAAAACTAAATAACTAGCAGTCGACTTCCAGCATTGTTTGGCGTATATGGTAAAAAGAAATTTAAAAGTTTTAAAAATTTCCGTCAAG